AAAATTCAGAATATAACGAAGTACAATTAACCAATTCTTGATGTAGTTAGAGATTGGAGATTTATATCATAAAAATGCGTCTGAAATAATTTTAGTATGCTGCTTATTCCCCTATGGTAGTGTACTTGGATAGCTTATAATTCTAATGTTTTAAAGCTATATCTACCTTGTCAGTAAGAGGAATCCAATTCTTATCATTGGTTTCTTGAAACAGCGAGCACTGGTTTGGTAATATGAAATATACCTTATCTGGAATAATTCTTCTAAGAGATACTTTAAACTGTTTAATAATGTATTTGTAAACATTAACAAACAAGTGGACATTTCTCCAAAATTTTTTATATGTAATTGTGTTTCTTTGATGTGATCGGAAATATTTGAGAGATATAAATGTAAAAAGTAAAATATTGGTGTGAGATATGCAAATGTAGAAGAATTGGTTGTTTTATATTATTAGTATTTTGTAGCAGCTTGAACTTTTTCCCACATGATATTGTGTTTTTGTCTCTATAATTTGTTTTGGAAGTTTTACATACACATAACTCAACTCTTTTGTATTTTTATGCCTTAACATTTGCACTTTAATTTTACAAACTTGCCACATTCCCAATAAATTAATGTTATGTTGCATCTCCAAAAATAGTAATGAATATATCAAATTTTACTGATACGATTTCCATGAATCCCTCCCTCCCTCGCTGTGTGCGTTTGTGTGAGTGTTCAGCTCCCCTCTCTATGATTGAGAAATGAGTAAATTTTACTTCTATGAATTCATGAATCTTTAGTTCTATCTCCCATATATGATTGAATTAAGAAGGTTGGTAGATTTGTAAATAGCAATTTTTGGGTGGTCTGTATGAGTCGAATGAGTTTGAAGGCATTTAATTGGTTCTAAAATATCTAAGGGGTAGAGATTGTAGTTTTGTTGAAAACATTACAACTTCTGCGTGCCAGATTGTTCATTTACCTAAAAAAATTAGCAAATCAGCTGTTTTCAAAATGCATAAACCAAACAGCTTATCTAAAACAGGAGTAAACTGGTCATTTATTCAGAATCAGCTGTTTTCCAAACCCACAAACCAAACGGTCATACAACTTATCCGAATCAGCTGCTAATCAATAACTTATCAGAATAAGCAGCTTATCTGTATAAGCTAGATACGATGCAGCTGCCCCAAACATACCCTATATCTCCACACCAGATCATTCAAATCACTCATTGTGAATTTCTCTTTACCCCTAATCATTTTTCCTATACCCTATAATGAATATTTTGCATTTAAAAAACTTTAAATATGTTCACATAATAAAGCAAGAAAGATAAAACTTTAAGAATTAGAATTAAGAAAAAATTGGAAGTTTTGAAAGCATAAAAAAAAAAAAAACTAGGCCGAGATAATGAGCGGAGACGACAACTGCTGCAAGAATCAATGTTGGCTACAAGGGGAACAATGGAGGCTACAACAAAGAATGGTAGTAGCTAGGGATATAATATAGGATGGCATGGCTTAGGCTTGTAAGGAGGGATGTGGGCGACAACTAAAAGCACGAACAACAACTAAAAGCAGGGACAGCAACGATAGTTGCTGCGAGGGAAGGCAACGACTACTACAATAAGAAGCTATATTGGGTCTATGATAGGAGATGGTGGCAACTATGAATGTAAGCGATGACTATGACAATAGAGATGTAACGAGAGGTTGAAGAAAACATCAAAGGAGATCGATAATGGCGCTGGAGATGGCGGTTGAAGAGGTCATAGATTTCTCATTCGTAAAGGGTGTGCATTTTGAATTAATATATCACAAAGAAGGTATAAAAAAGAGCTATGGAGGCTACACAAAAGGTGCATTATGGTTGGCATCGGCCTCCTCCACACTCAAAAGAGCGGGGTCACAAGTGTAAGCATCCCAAAACAAAAGACCTATACAAGACAAGTTGAGAATAAAAATGAGCTGCCTTGTTACATTCTCTATACAACAACAATAAAACCTTTATCCCACTACTAAGTGAGGTCGGTCAGCTACATGAATCCTTTTCCTCCATTGTGTCCTATTTAGTGTCATATTTTCATTTAATTCTAATAAACTAAGATACAATATGCCCAAGTCATCCTAGGTCTACTTCTATCTTTCTTAACATAAACTTGTTTCAAACTCTGTTACAAAGGAAATGTCGAGTCCATTGGTGAGTTGGTGTTGCCATACCTTTGCCTTCATACTTTCCTGAAAGAAAATAACATTTTCATTGTCGCCTTCAATAATAATCCCAACAGTCTCAAGCATCCAAGGCATTGCCAATTTGCCAAGTAAAAGAACTGCATCTGCTTCAACCTATGAGCTGTCCCAATGCACAAAATTTTGCCCGGCCGCATGCAGGACCTTCCCAACATCATCGTAAATCATCATGCCAATGTTGGCTTGGTTATTAGTGAGAAGGGCACCACCCGTTCGGATGAGTTGGTTAAGCAAAGGGTTAGAGTAGGCGTGAAATTGTGAGTGCGTAATATATTTAACATTTATTTAAAAAAACTATACTATTGCATGCGTCACACACACAGTGCAGTGATACGCAACTTAGTAGAGGTGAGGCGTACGCTTCATCATGAATTTTTGAGGTTATATGGTTTGCTATGAAGTACGTCGAGATTGCGCAATTTTATCCTCGGAAATAAACAATAATTAAAATGTAAACATGGTGTAAAAACAAAAATTTTAATAAATAAATAAAGAAAAAAAGGTGGGCGAGTAGACAGATGCATCCCTTCCGATCAAACATATCGATATCGTTCGATCGTCTCTTCAATCGAACCATCGAACCAAAAGAGAATGAGAGAGACAATAGGAGAGATTGAGAGAGGAGAAATAACCGTGCCCTAGCCGAAGCAGGAATAAGAAGATGCGAGAAGAAGACGTCGGCCAACTCTGTGTCGAGGCTAGGACCGAAGGAGAAGAAAGGAGAATAAAAATCAAATTCTCTGTGTGTTTTAGAGCTGTCGAGTCTTGCGAAAGAGAAGAAGAGGAGAAAGCTTATTAAAGCTCGCGTGCTCTGTTGGGGTGAGATAGGATCGAAGGAATAAGGGGGAGGAAAGGCTCACGTGGGTTAGGGCAGAGCCAAAGATAGAAAAAGAGTTATATATATTTTTTAAGTTAATTAATATATTATTTTATATGCATGTAAGTGATTATGAGCTTAATTAAATAAGTGTTAATATAAAGTTCTTTGAATCAGGGTCCAAGTTATTCAATTTCTAAATTTAAGGGAGGAGTATCATGATTTTTAAGTATGTAAGTGATTATGAGTTTAATAAAATAGTTATTAATATAAAGTTATTTGAATCAGGGTCAAAGTTATTCAATTTCTAAATTTAAGGGAGCAGTATCATAATTTTTACGTGAGAGGGAAAAGGAAGATTGTCACGCACCCGAAAGATTTTAAGTTGTGTTATATTTTTATTAAATTAGTTAATAAATCTATTATTTATGTGGGAGGGTATCTTTAATTAACTAATGCGAAGCTTTATTGAAGTAGAGCTCTATAAATAGAGGTTTCATCTTTGAAGGAGAGCTTTATGAAGCAAGCAATATTACTAATGGAATTACTGGTGTAATTAGTTAAATTAATTAATGTTATCAAATTTATTTAGATTGGGAGGTGTAAAGAATTCGATAAATCATTCAAATTTGAGGAAGACGAGAATCCCAAAGCTAAAAGAGGTAAGCGTTTTAATAATTATTTTATATTTAAATAAGATTTTTTTTTAGGATGTAATCCTTATACTTATAAGCACATTTAATGTGTTTAGGAGCTAAGAAGTGAAGTGAAGGGTTAAATTACCTCAAAGGTCTCTTAAGGCTAAAGTGAGTAATTATTTTTTTATATGTATTAAATTTCCAATTTATTAAATAAAGAATTTCGTTAATGTTTTAGAAAATTATTTTATGATTAAAAATGAAAGGAAATAAATGAGAAAAGGGAAGATGAATATTAATGTCTTTAAAAAGAAGCAATTTAATGAAATGAAAGTAAATTTTTAAGTCATACAAGAATACCTCCAGATGATATTGGTGCAATGTACCCGTGCACATTAAAGAAAACGATAAAAGTGTGCCTTTGGGTGCAATTTAAGGATACCTTCGGGTAAATTTTTTTAGGGTGCCTTCGGACACATTTTGAAAGTGCCATCGGGCACATTTTTGAGGACACATTCGGATAGAACGACAATCCTGTGATAAGTATTTAAGAGGTCAAATTGGTAAATACTTAAAGGGAAGAAATAATTTTAAAGTTTTAATGAAATTCACTGCATTTTCTTTAGCTCATTCATGTATATCATAACATAAAATTTAATGCATGTTAGATTACAATTACTTATTAAGTTGTACTTACTGTTGCAATTACGTTTTCTTCAGGAGAAGAAAATTCTAGGTGATATGTCTAGTAGGAAAGACTTGGTTTATAGAAAGAGAACCACTATTACTGATAGGTATTAGTTTATGATATGATTTTAGTTCCTTTTATTGTTTAATTCTGTTTAGAGACAATTTATATGTCGGTCTGAGATAATATTTTTTTATTATGATGTTGTTTCTGGATGTTTATTTTTATTGAACTTTGTGGATTAGTGACTCTTTTATGTATTAGAAGTTTTTAAAATGTGGCTAGTTAAATGTTAATATCGTCCAACCGCAGTTCCCACCATAGTTAATTCTAAGCACCGAGCCGAGTCGTGACACATGGTAATGTATCCAATTCAATTTTCAATTCTATTAAATTCAGTTTGAAGCCAATGCTAATATTGAAAAATGATGCAGATTTCCTCTCACTATAATAGCATCCAAGTAGGCATAAATAACCGCATGCAACATTGCAACTTGTCATTGCTATCATATATGTTTGTCAGATGTCAATTCTATATGAGCTGCCTAAAAAGTTCACCCTGTATCCCTAACGTCAAAAAAGCTGATCTCAGAAAACATTATCAGTAAGGAAGACGATACCTGCTCAGGTTCATGGCATCGATTTGCAATTTCATCCAGCGTCAAAGGTTCCACTGGATCTTTACAACTGTAACAACAGTGCAAATTAATCATTTACAACCAAGCAGTGGGCTCAAAAATACTTCCAATGCGGAGGAATAAATGAGAAAATTTCTATACAAACTGCATGTATTTTAGAAGAAAATTTAACTAAATTCCAAATACAATAAAAAAAAAATTGACTGTACAAAGGAAGCTCAATTGCACATCTGTATCAGTAAAACTGCACTTCTTTAGAAAATTAGGGTTGCCAAGGAAACATTGTAACCAAGTTAAAGTTAAATGGTTTATTTGTAAGGGCAACTAAGGCAGAATCTTCTATTACAGGACGTCAGCTCATTTAGACTACAGAACAAAGTCTATAGAACAACATTTTCAAGATTTCATGAAACATTCTGCCATGTATGTATATTTTGTGCTAAAAGAAAAGGCAGTGGTGCAACAGTCAATACCTGGTGAGCAAAGAGCACAAATTCATTTAACCGTTAGTGCTTAAAAGGAAGATGAAACACATGCAGTAGTCATGATCCCGGTTATTTGGATCTGATGGAAGAAACACTCTCCCTTGATTCAATGGAAACAGCACTAGCACTTTAAAACAGAAACATATTTTCTAATATTTAATAGATATTTCTCAAAAGCAATAATTGCCTTAGATATCAATACTGCCAGTGAGATATTCGCAGTTTTCACTCGATAAGCAAATAAAATTAAAGCTAGCAATATTAATAAATACAGGAGCATTTGACATTATTTTAAAAAAGAGACACACACTTAACAGCTAAATCAAGGGGAAGTAGATCAAGAGATTATGAGAAAATAGATCTTTAAGTGCAAAATGTTGGATCTTAATTAAGTTCAAGAAAGAACAAGATGGCTAGATTAATTGAAGCAATTATTGAAGGAAAAACATTAGGAAATTTCAACTATAAATAAAAAAAAAAGCAAGATGAGCTAGTTCCATCAGTTCATGGACAAAATAAAATTTTTATCATGTGTGGACGACAATGAAAGTGTTGATTATGACTTTCCATAGCCGCTAGATTTATAATATATGTGAATTGTATAAAAGGGATGTGTTGATTAGGAGTAACCTCTAGCATTGCAATCTTCTCAGGTCGGGCAAGTGAGATGTTGCTCCTGGAATCCATGGTTAAGTGATAGCCAACGTTCATGTCAGCTACACCTTTTGAAACTATTTTATTATTTTTACATAAAAACAGAATTATTACTTGTTGAACATCAAGAGATATTATTAACTCCCTTGTCGCATTGTTGCATCTGAAGTAGGCTCCTATTTCTATTCACACGTATGTTCTCTTAACTATTACTGCACAGCATGGCACTCCATACCTTACATGAGAGGTACCTATAGTTAAACTACCTCACATGAGAGGTACCTATAGTTAAACAATTGCATGCATTTACACAGTTTATAAAATGCTTATGTTTATTTACCGTCTTGGTTTCAATGCGACGCTAGTTGTACAAGTAATGTACTTTTAGTATTCTAAAAGTCTGATAAGCTAATTCTAAACAGTGTATGCAAAAGTTACCCTTGATTGAGGTTTTATAATTTTTGCAATAAGTCAGAATGGGATATGATGCGTTCATTTGATTATGTTGATATGCCATGCGTTGAAATGTAAATGAGCTTAATAGGAAACTTGTCCAACAGATCCTTTCATCTACATTATCACATTGTTTGGATTACTTAAAATTGGCGGCAATTTGATGGGCATCTGTGTGTATAAATCATGCGAAGCCTTATTAATTTGTGCATGTAGCATTACATAAAAAAAATCGGTAGTAGAAAGGATTATAATATCTTTGAGATGACCTCAAATCCCATCACTACAAAATGATTAGATTCTCATCACAGTTACCCATGACCCAATGTTACGGCAATAGCTAAAGTTAAGGCAGTGAGATTAATTGGCCAATGGTAAAAATTGCACATGGGAGTATTGCAGTTAGGACAATATCAATCACATGCAGCTACCGATCGAATCAGGTAATTAAGATATGTAATTTTTATTTTAGTGATATACCTGTTAGATTGCCATTACTTGGGAGATCATCCGTCCATATGAAAAATTAGTATTAAATGTTTCAAATATTTATACTTTATTATGAGACACAATCTAGAGCTACTCTGTAATAAGAAATTGCTCCAGTTAAGGAATACAACATTTCATGCTAGGATCACAGATTAGAGACATTTCAGAAACTGAAAAAAAATGGTGTTAACAATTCTCACATTTGATGCTAGAACCTCTCTCAATTCTAACTTCCTATACATCCATGGACAACATTTTGGACCAGAAGTTGTTTTAGATCATCACTCATTATTGGACGCACTTCACTAGCCAAAATGATGCTAAACGACCTAATGACCCTCCCCTCCGCTTGTGTCCCCTTCTATCACTTCTCAATTTTTGCAAGGGCCGACAAACAATCACAACACAAGAACAACGGAAGCAGACCTAAACAAGCCAAGGCCGATTGACAAGAATACTTAGTTATGGTTAATTAGTTGACAAATAATATTTGATTTTTTGTTATATAAAACTATCCTACAAAATGTATGCTAGCCTGTAGCTTCAATTATTTAATGTACCTTTTCCATATTTAAACCAGATCATGTTAATTTGGGATATATCTTGATTAATAAGTTTACTTGAGTTCTTGTTGCTTCGCTACATAAGATTTGAGCTTGTCACCCTAGCTTGCTGACCAACAAAATCAATTAAGCCCACCAAAGGCTCAAGCCAACAACCATCTCTCATAGCTTATCCAAAACACTAACAAAATAAGCCCTTAAGCTTATCTAGCTAAGCTTATCCTCACTTAGGTGACTCAAGTCGCACGACATCTGCACCAAATATACTCAAAAAGTTTGGTATCTGACGATGCAGTTAATCATCATAGGCATTTATCCATTTCCAAACTATTGCATATGACCATCAACAGAAACATGCATTTCAACTCTCCACCTCAATGCCCGGCTTTATGAAGGTTAAGTTGGACATGGAACAAGCTCATGACATGATGAGCTAGAGCACCTTAAAACCTGTTATGGAAAAAATTCACTTTCTGGAGTGTTCCGAAGATGGATTCGACAATGTATTTGGAACCCCCATTTTGCCATCTTGATAAATGGGAGGTGGACCCCGTGGATTGACGCCAAATGAAGCTTCCGACAAGGATGCCCCCGATCTCCATATTTATTTATCATGTGCTCCGAACTCCTTTTTAAGGCCTTGAAGCAATCTGAATACCAGGGGGGGCGCTGCCATTACTCAAGGTGGAACCAAAGTCTCACACCTCTTATATGCCAACGACAATTTATTATTTGCTGAAGCTTCTATGAAAGCTGCCAAAAACATCCATTAAATTATCAATGATTACTGTGCTTGGACTGGGCAGGCAGTAAATTCTCAAAAATCCTCGATCCAGTTTAGTAAGAAGGCTATTAATCAAGGTAAGACCCGCATTGTCCGTTTCCTTAAGTATAAAAAGGTTGAGGAGTGGAATATTTGGGAATTAAACTTGCCATGAGGAAGCTTGCTGCTGTTGATTTCGCCAATATTATTCCGAAGGCCAATAGAAAGGTCTCTGCATCGGGAAATCGAGATCTTTCGCTTGCAGGCCGGTTCACTTTGATTAAAAATTCTCTGCTGCCAATGTCATCCTACTTATCCATTCAGATCCCCACAACTCCATACTGGAAAGAATTGAAAAATCCTGCAGGTCCTTCATATGGGATAAAGAACCCAACCAACATGGGCTTCACTGCCTCTCCTAGAGCAGCTTATGCAATCCGAAGATTCATGGGGGCCTTGGATTCCATGCTGCCGTTAGGTGGAGGAGCCCCTTAGTTTGGTGTGGTAGCTGCTCCAAGCACCCAACAGATTCCCTCTCAAATGTATCATGGAGTGGTATGGACCTTGCCGTGAGATCGCAATAGCTCTCGGGTTGACTCGTTGGCTTGGAAAATTATCATGAATGGCGGTGCTGCCTTGAAGAATATTATTACTAAGAAAACCGGGGATAGGAGAAGTGTAAATCTGCTGAATGATTGCTTGATCTTAGACCAGCCCATTTCCAAATGGCCCGCATTTGTTAAGGTGGAGATTTCCGAAAATATACAAGTGAACGCTCTTATTATAAATAATGAGTAGAATGCCAATGTGATGCAAAACTGGTTTGTGGCGGAACTTAACACTATTTGTACAGTACAGCAATTGGGACAATTCCCTACTGATCAGGCAACACTTATTCCAGCACATTCATGACAGACTAGTACATCTTTGGCTCATAAAAAAGTGTTTAAGGATGAGCCCACCTGCGACATATGGATGGATAAGCTGAAAGTTTTTCCGAGAGAGGCAACTTTTTGGTGGCGGCTCACGCATATTGCTGTACCAACAAATGTGTGGCCGCATAATACCCCTAATGCCCTTGGGATTGCTGGGAGATGGAGGATATCATGCATGTTACTTCAAAATGCAACCTCTTTAAAGCCACTTGTCAGGTTCTGATGAAACGGGGAACTGTTCTCCCAGCATTTAATAACCTGGAGGAGGTTTGCGATAGAATGAGGAACATTCCTCTAAGGGCCAAGGTGCTGTGGAAAGAATTTGTTGTTATGTTGTTTATCATTGTTGGCGTGTGAGGAACGCCAAGAAACATGGCCAGTCCCATGGCACCCAGACAGTGTTGGCCTCCACGGATTTTTTTTCTCTCATGCATACGAAAGCCTGCCCCATCCGGTTGGATCAAGGCCAATATTGATGGGGCCTTCCTCTACTCGGGCTTTGCTAGTGTGGGCAATTGTGTTGTTGCGGCTGGTTACAAGACGGTGCATTGGATAGCTTCCTTGTTGAAATGGAAGCTGTTTTACATCTTAGCAAGCTGGTTGAGGCATGGAAGTTTGAAACTGACCGTTTTATGGTGGAAGGTGACAGCAAAAAATGTGGTGAATGCCATTCAACATTCTATGGAAAAGCGGTGCTTGGACGCAGCATGAGGATTGCAATCCTAATTTGACTTTTTTCACTAACTTCGGCAGATGTTGTTTTCCTTTATTCCCATATCTAATAATGATGCGGCTCATTTTTGTGCATAGTTTGCTTTACAAGAAAGGTTTGTTATTAAAAGTTTGCATGATAGTCATCCCTTGTTGTCTTTTTGTTGATTAGTAGCCCTCTTTTGTTTTTGTTGTGGCTTGTTTAGCATTTTTTTTTTTGTAATATTTTGACTTTATATTAATGCAAAATGCACACCCTTCACGAAACAAGTATTTCAGTAGCTCTAACAAAAAAAAATCTATAAATCAAATTAACCTGGCCTCATTTAGAACAGATAGAGCCTTCTTCTGAAGAGCCAATACTTCTCCAGCCGCCTTCTTACCAGCCTCTACACCTGCGGAATGAAAAGATGTAATGAAGGAATTGACATTATGTACACAGAAAAATAAATAGAAAAATAAAGAAAACACTGAAATCTCCAAGGTTCCAATCTTTATAAAGTTCATACCAGGTTGATGATAAGCATTAATGTTGACTAGATATGCATAGATCCCGACAGCTCGTTCATAAAGAGAAATAAGTGCCCCAATTGATCTTGGGCTCACCTCTTGCACAGTAACGGTTATGGATTCCCTATTATTGGCGTAAAGAGCTGAGCGTGTGCCCTGTAAACAGAAAATTCTTATGAAACAAAAAATTACTAAGATTCGGTACAATAAAGGTCAGGTTGAGTGTTAAAACACATTAAAGATAACTGAATCAAAATATATTAAATTTTAGTGGGAAATAAATATATTGATACCGGAGTTAACCCAAATGACAAATAAAGCAGAAATATTATTTTTGAATTTCAATGGTTACAACCATGGCTCTTGAAAGCAGAAAACAATGACAACAAACATAATGACACTAGGCCATGACAACAAAGAACACACAAACATAGACTCCAACTAGGGCTAGGGCAGCAGTTAGATTTGAGGGAAGGGCTGCCGTACCTGCTGGACTGAAGGAGGCCTACTGCTGCATTGTTTGGAGGGTTGTGGAAGGTGGCAGCAGCTATCCTAGGGAGGAAGGACTGTGGGAGGCTTGTAGCAATGGTAGGGTGAAGTTATATGCTGTAGCAATGGAGAGAGCACGGAGTTATGGCAGTGGGGAGGGGATCTGGAAGGGGACACAAAAGTGGAAGTGAGAGGAAAGGTGTTGTGGTTCAGCAGGGCTGCTAGGGGTTGCTGTTAATACGGGATGGGGGTTGGAGACAGGGAAACGGCTGGGTGAGGAAGCTTACAGGAAGGCGGGAGGAAGTGGCCTGTTCGTGGAGGTTGCAGGAGGGCTGGAAGGGGAACAGCGGCCGCTCTGGTGTTAGGTAGTGGAGATGTGGGGAGGGGTAGACAGGGTAACAGGATCGGTTGGGAAAAGAGAATATGGCAGGGAGGCAGGGAGGCGGCGAGCTGTAGGAATAGAAATGGGTGCAGGGAGTTGGTGGCCAGCTGGGAAGAGAAGTGGGGGATGGACTTGTAGATAATCACTACCTTGGAAGAGTGGTACAGCCGGAGCGCCATCCTAACCGCCGGATACAACCCTTGAGTGGAAAATAAGATGCATGCAACTCTCCTCACAAACTGAAATTAAAAAAATAACATAACTTGAACCCTAAAACTACAAACAACATATAAATAGAAGCGGAATGGGCGAGAAACAAAAACAGGGAGGGGGGAAATAATTTCCGCGTAATGGAAGAGAGAGGAGGGGTCAGTTCATCCCCTTCACCTAGTAGGTTCCTGTTGAACCGGGTTGAACCAATTTACCCCAAGCCCCTGTATCAGTCTCCCGGGGTGGGGGAAGCTTTGACCTCACTCGTCAAAGATTTTGTCTCCACCTACTAGTCAGATTGATCATTTTGTAAGTTCCCGGTAAGTCAATTCCGCAAGTGGAATCGTTCCAAAGAATATCTCAATAGAACAGATATCCGTCATCTTCTGGCCTAATATGAGACGGAAGTACATTACGACGTAGCTTCTTCCGAGCCAAATTTTGAACAAGTGAATGTATAATATGCTTCTCTCAATCCTCATATTCGATTGGATGTGTCAGATAAACAAGGCCGTTAGGGGAGGTCAACTCTGGAACAACATCTCTAGCAGGTTGGGCCACCTTGACAAGTAACCACTCATCAAAGACATTTTTTCTCTTCGGGAAGGACTTGGATCCCAAGGTAGAATAATCTTTCTCCCAAAGATCTTGGGGACCTTCTCACTAATGTGGTTCATCCATCTTGTCTGATCCTCCATTAGGTGGTGCACAATTGAACCGATTTTAATCCTCAAATAACTCAAGATTGTCTTTCAGAAGTAAATCAAAATCTTCTCATCTCTGACAAGTTGGACCTTTTTCCATATGGGCAACTCAGAAGACAAGCTATATATCTGCAATTTCTGAAATCCTTTTATATGACATTGACCTATGTCTAGTATATACTTCTCAAACTCATGGTCCTTTTTGACATCCAAAGCCAGCCTTGTTGAGGTTCCTTTCATCGCCTGCACAACAGTAGCTTGAGGCACTACAACCTCATACTCTGCATAAATACTCATTACATCAAAGTCACTACCTTCTAGAATATCTACTATTATCTCAGGTGGAATCTTTGCCTCAGGGACAACTGGAACTAGTGATGTCTCATCCTCATTAGTTGAAAATTGAGAATCATTTTTGAAATCTTCATCTCTTTCCAGATCAACGGTGCATTGTCCAATTTTTCAACAACACCCTACTCGGTGAAATAAATCTCTCCCCAAGTTGTGCATTCTAATTCAACATGCCCAAACCCGCGACACTTGCAACACTTCCTGGTGATGATAAATTTTAGGATGCAAATTGATCTAATTTGTTCTCTTCTCTGACACGGTTGTCTAGGGTGTATTCATAGAGGTATTCTAGTTGTAATATCCTGAGGTTAAACTTTGCCTATAAGATGTGGGGGACACTTAGTGCTGTGGCCTCTCCAATTTTGAAGCTAGAGTTTGCACCCTCTATCTATAGTAAGCTGGCAATTCCTACTACTGTGTTTCCCGCTTCATCTTCAAATTCTCTTGTTCTTTCTGTCTGCTCTCCCAAAAAACGATCGAGAGTAACCTCCCATTGGATTTCATCCTCAGTGTCCACAAGCTTTAGCTAAAGTTGGTGGATCTCTCGCTGTATCTCTTCCCGAGTAGGCTCGGGCATGTATCTCCTTGGTAGCAAGGTCAGAGTTTAGCATTGGGAGGTGGAAGAGATAGTGGAGACTCAAGGAAGGTGTAGGAAAAATAATGGGGTGGTTGCTGATTTTGAAAATCAGCAAAGGAGAATTAGGGTTAGGTCAAAATGTGGCTAAGGTTTGAAAATAAGAAAGAAAAAATTTTGGAGGTAGATTAGGTAGGTATGGATGCTAGGAAACTCTAGAATAGGACTAGAGTTAGGCCAGTTTTGATACCAAACAATGTTGGAATTAAACCAAACCACAAATAAAACAAAAATATTATTGTTGAATTTCAACAGTTACAACCATGCCTCTTAAAAACAGGAAATAACGACAACAAACATAATGACACTAGGCAATGGCACTAAAGGACACACAAAAATATACTCCAACTACGGCTAGGGCAGCAGTTAGATCTGAGAGGGCTGCGGTAGCTGCCGCACTGAAGGAGGTGTGCTGTCGTAGTGTTTGGGGAGGGTTGTGGAAGGTGGCAGCAGGTATCCTGGGGAGGAAGGACCGTGAAAGGCTTGTGGCAATGGTAGAGAAAGGGTATAAGCAGCAGCAATGGAGAGGGCAGGGAGTTATGGCAGCGGGGAGGGGATCTGGAAGGGGTCACGGCAATGGATGTGAGGGGAGAGGTGCTGCAGTCCAGCAGTGCTGCTGGGGGTTGATGTTAATACAAGATGGGGGTTGGAGGCTGGCTGGGTGAGGAAGCTGGCCTGTTTGTGGAGGCTGTAGGCTGGCTGGAAGAGAGAACAGCGGCCACTCTGGTGTTTGCGGCAGTGGAGATGTGGGGAGGGGTAGGTAGAGTAATGGGATTGGCTGGGAACAGGGAATATGGAAGGGAAGCAGGGAGGCGGCGAGCTGTAGGAATAGAAATGGGTGCAGGGAATTGGTGGCCAGTAGGGGAAGAGAAGTGGGGGAAGGTTTTGTAGATAATCATCACCTTAGGAGAGGGTTACAACTGGAGCACCACCCTAACCGTCGGATACAACCCTTGAGAGGAAAACAAATGCCTGTGATTGTCCTCACAAATTTAAATAAAAAAATAACATAAGGTGAACCCTAACACTACAAACACCATATAAATAGAAGCGAGATAGGCGGTAAAAGAAAACAGGGAGGGGGGTGAAATAATTCACGCCTAACGGAAGATAGAGGATGGGCCGGTTCAGCCCCTTCACCTTGTAGGTTCCTGCTGGCTGAACCGGGTTGAACCCTAGCCCCTGCATCATATATAATACTCCAAAAATTTCCCTATTTAGAACATTAAGTATCTGTGAATTATTGAACTAATGAACCCATATATTTGTGCATGCCGCCATCAAACTGCTAGAAATTTATAAAAAGCAAAAAAATCGAGAATGGAATTTTGATATTTGGTTGACAAGTTAAAATGTGGAAGTAATAGAAAATTAGTTAGTAAATTATCAAGTTTAATGTGCTATCCATGTAATTGCCTCGTATTTTTAGGAAAACATAGGATAACTTTATAATGTAAAGGAAACCTATCAAAATGTCTTCTCAAAACGCCTTATTTTTTTATCTTGCTAATTTGTCCCTCTCTGAAATCTCTCTACTTACCATTATTGTTCATTAACTTACCAAATTTTAGTATCACGCAAGTCCTCTCTACAACAAAAAAGATTGCATACCTGAAGCATTCCAAATAGGTAGTCACCGCATGTTACTCCTGGTTCAAGCTCCCAGTCATGACCTGGGGGGCGATCTCGCAAGACTTCAATGAAAGTAACAAAGAAATTATGCACCCCTTCTCTAAGTTGCTGAATGTAGCTGCCAATCAAAAGCAAATCAAGATAAAACACCTGAATAATATATTAGAAGAAAACTTTCATGAAGTAAAAAAAACATACGCATGCTGATCTGTGCTTCCCTTGTTTCCATATACAGTAATTCCTTGGTTAACCTGACATGAAAATATGCTTCATTAGTCAAGGATTCTCATAACCCTTTCTTACATTAACATTTAACTTGGTCCATTAGGCTAATCCCTTCCTTCTTTACCTCACGATTATTGAATTACAGCATGGAAAAATTTTAAAAGACTAAACACTACTTTGAAAGGAGAAGATATTCACAATAATTTTTTACTAGCCTTAGGAAATAATATATTGGTGTAGGTGATGTGTCTTGCGGTTAAGTAGGGTTTGTTGCTCTTCCTAAGAGAGCTAGGAAAAATATATAGGCCTTGGTGGAGTTGGTTAGATTACGAGCAAAGAAAATGGTTGGCCAACACTCAGAAAAAAGCTAGAGAAATACTAATTCTGACTTTAGGAATTTAGTGTCAAGAAAAGAGACATTCTTAAAACTTGAAACTCTGTGAAATGCTGATTTAACATGTCTACTAGTGTTTTAGATAGTTTCTTAATTGTTTATTTTTTTAAAATTTTTTTCAGTATTTTTACAAAAATTAAATCAGGAGACATTTTTACTGACTAATAGCACAAAAATGGATAGCAGGCCTAAAACAATAGAAAATTAAATTTTATACTTTTTAGTGTGGAGTTGAAAGCTTTTACAGTTTTTCAATGAGCTTTAATCAACCAAATAAATTACGAAACAAGACTAGGTTCTGCAAAAAAATAAAAAGAATTTTTCATTGCTAATTATGAAGATTTAATTATGGAAAAGTAAAATAAAACACTTGAACAATGGAAGAACAATGCCACAATAAGAGCAACCAACAAAAACAAACACAGCATAAATTCTATAACTCACTAAAGATGAAGGATAAGTGGAGTCAACAAACTAACCTTGGAGAGAATGACCACCAAAAAACAATCCCCTTCGTATAATGTCACCAAAAATTTTTTTCTAGCGATCAAGTCTCCGAAATTTTTTTATTCTCTACAGTTAAATAGTAATTAAAAGAGAAAATTTAAAATACAAAAGGGAGGAAGGAGTTAAAGCCGGCCATGATGCGGTGAAAAGATACAGTTATGCACCTTTTTGATAAGTGTTAACTACCTCCTTCAAAGAGAAGGCTTCTCATAAAAACTTGAAAATCAGTTTTCATTAAACTTTTAATCATCAACTTACAGTTAAATACATTTTAGCATTCTCACCATAAAATCCCTCCAAAAATTCAAATTTGGAAATTTAAAATTTTAAATTTCATATTCGAAACTTTAAAATTTGAAATTTAATAATTTGGCAATATCTTAAATATGAAAATTATACATGTGAGTCTTTCACAATAATCACGAAGCATTAAATGACAAACTTTATTTAAAAATCTTTAATTGGTTTCTTGCTTTAGGTCTTTACTTAGCTTCAATTAGTCTATTCTTTTGGGCTCTTATGATTGATCCAATCTCATCACTATGTGTTCTTTGTACTACTTCAGTAGGGCATACGTTCTATTATCAAGATAAAATTTAATTTAATTTTGTATTACCAGACCACTATTGTAATAAAAGGTCACAAAATTAATCTCTTCAAATCCTAAAAAACAGAATACAACAATCCCTCCACAGACATTTCATTGAGAAAGCTCCATGTAATAGGTATATCCATTGCAAAGAAAAAGGTAGCCTACTGAAGTTGTAGCAAATCTAACGATAGGCTCATGGCTCCAACAGTGGCTTGCATCACCATTATTAGACTACTTTTTTAGGAGACATGGGAGCTAAATTCCTTCCCAATGGAACAGATACAAACCTGATTTCCATCAAGGTCAAATTCTTTTCCAAGTGATTCCATGACTAGTTGCTGCAAATATCGACTAAAGAGAAGTAAGCTATCCTTGTAGGGAAGAACAACCATATCCTGGAAAGTTCAACGCATAAACCAGTAAAAATGAAAAATATCAGGATGATGCAAAGCTAATTAAAACAAAAGAGCAAATGGACACGAGAAAGGGAAAACCTTCGAACCAACTCCATTAGTTGCCCAATACCAACAGAAAGCAAGCAAGGCTGCTGGATTATTCTTCACCTGGATAAGAAAGAAAATTAACAAAGAAATTATAATGAAAATAAATCAAGTTTATGGTCAAGAAGTTTTTTCAATACCACAGTCGTGCGATTAGCTGCATCCATCAACGATGCACCGACAAGCATTTCTCTGATGTTAATACCCTAAGAAGAGAATATGACAAAAATAAGCCAAAACTTTGGAATCAAAGAGCTTCTAATGACTGCTCAAAAGCATAAGAGGTACATACCTGTAGTGCAGCTGGAAGTAAGCCAACTGCAGACATTTCTGATGTTCTACCACCCACCCAATCAAACATAGGAAACCTAGCTAGCCATCCCTCAATTCTAGCAGTATTATCTAATAAGGAATTTTCTTGGGTGATAGCGACAGCCTGAATGAGAATATATAGTATGCCAGTTGTAAGGTTTACTTCTTTCGAGATAAAGACAATGTGATGGAAGAGACAAGTAGACAAGATTATCAGAAGAAACTAACATTCAAGAGACAGAAGCAATAGAAAAAAATATAAATTTACACAAATTAAAGTGATAGAGATAAAACAGAAAGAAAAAAAAATCTCCATCCGTGAGCTAGAAAAGGAAATCAAAATATAATGAACATAATTTGTGTCACAAACAAATCTGAAAGATAAATAATAAACATATTTAGTGACGCAGGAGCTTCCCCGCATAACCCTTTCCGCGATCCAGTTACAGTGCCGCTACAATCTAGCAACCCTTTGCTATAGTCCCGCGAACGCTTCCGCGTCTGGATTGGGCGCAGTGAAACTTGAGCAGGACTGAACTGATTCATACCAGAATTAGAGCTGGCCGAGCTTCCTTACATGGATTTAGTACCTCCTATCAACAATGAGCCCAAATTATATTACTTAGGGCTTATATATTTGATTTTTGTGTTTAGGTTTTGAGTTTTGACATATGATTTCTGTCGGGGTCCTTTCTCTCCCTTCAAGGGCTGTATCCAACGACAGGTGGTGCTTCGCTTGTAGCTTGTCTGAGATGGTTATCTCCTTCCAAGTGGTCGAGTGTTGCCGTGAGGGTATTTATCTTCGACTTTCCATTCTTCGCAACCCTCCCCTGGCTGCTGCTGCCGCCGCCGCCGCCACCGCCACCGCCTTTCATCTCTGCCGAAACCATTGGACAGCACTCATCCTACAACTATAGCCACTAGCTGACAACTCCTCCACCTGCTGACATCCCCACCTTGCTGCCATCCCCAGAAAAAAGTGCAGCAACTGTTTCTACCTCTGCTCCCGGCCATCCAGCCCCGGCTCGGCCATCCTCTCCCTCTCTACCCGTTGTTCACTGCTATTCCAGCCACCCGAACCGCACCAATGCAGCCTAGCCGCTGTTCCAGCACTTCCTCTGTGCTGCCCTTGTTGTTCCTGTCACAAAAAACCATTCCCCGTGCCGCCTTACTGCTGTCCCAGCTGCCAAAATTACCTCCCGCAGCCTTTCTGCAGTCCAAGCTAGCTGCCCTCGCATGGACAGCATTCCTTTTGCTGTCCTGCAGTCCACAGCCCTCCCCTTCAACACCCCTCGCTGTCACAGCCCTCCGCATCGCTGCGAACGCAATTCCAGCCCCTCCTTTTACTGTCCCAACCACCTACGACCCATTTCAGCCACCTACCGCCATTCCCCGATCACCTAGCCTACCTCCATCATCCATGGATCGAGCCCTAGTGTAAGTTTGTATTGTGTTTATTGTCATTTCCCTTTCAAGTGTGTTTGATTATAACCGACAATTTACTTTTCAGTAATAATATTTACTTTTCGTATTATGATTTGGGTTAACTCCAGTATCATTTGGTATGACAACTAGCCTAGTCCTAATCCTATTATAGGGTTTCTTGCATCTACCTTGCCCAAACTTATCCCTACCATTTTTTTTTCCCGCCCTACATCACCCGACACACCTCGTTTCACCCACCCACACATGGAACCTTAATCATGCCACAATAATTGGACGTTGATCACGAGTTTACCATCTAAGAGATATAGTGACAACTCCACTGAGTACTACAATGCTCGATGAAATTGAGAAAATGAGACCCTAGATCGAAGGATTGGAGTAAATCTCGTCTACCACACGGATTTCAGGGATGAAGAACCTCTACCCTGAAGATTTGAGCCAAAATACTTGAGAAGTCAAGCTTTTTCGACAACGTGAAGGGAAGGGTAAAATGACAACTCGGTCTAAGATGAAGCGGAAGATGCATCACCAGTACTTACCAGCTCACTACAGGCTAGACGTTCAAACCTTGGCTTCAAAATTAGAGAGACCACATCATTGGGTGCCCACATAGGGCTCAACCCCATGATCTTACAGACAGAGTACTTTTAGGGGAACATCCAAGCCGAACGCGTCTGAAAAGAAACTGATTCATAGTAAAGAACAGATGAACCCAACCAACATAACCAGAGCTAATCCCGCCAGAAAGAGTTTTGAAGTGTCACAGATTTAGACATATTGAAGCAGATTGCACAACCAAAGGGATGATATATTTCACTGACCAGGGAACTACTGAAGAAATAATTAATGATACAAGAACACTAAAGAAGTTGAGGACACAAAGAAAAATGTTTAGATTTCAACTGATAAAAGAGAAAACACATAGTTCAAATTGAGCCCATGAGAGCGACTCCAATCGAAGTAACATTTTGCTAAAAGACGAAGGAAACTTATTCTATCAAAATGTACTTTGGAATGACAACGCCAACAAAATTGACTTCCCAAGAGCATGCAACATTTCCGCTACTTTCAATGGGACCGACCTAACTACTATGAGGAGGCAGAAGCTTCAACAAATGAGGTTGAAGCTCCCCCAAACCTATGACATAACGCGTGAGCTTCCCTGCATGAGACCCTTTCTGCGATCCTTCTACAATGTCATCACAGTCTCGCAACCCTCACTATAGTCCAGCATCCGCTTCCCTGTCTAGACCGGACGTAGTAAAAGTTGTGCAACATGGATTGGTTCATAACAGGATTTCAAGGGTTGACTGGCCTTCCTCACATGGATTTGGTACCTCTTTTAAAAAGTGGGCCAAAAGCTAATTACCTAGAGCATATATATTTAAATCATGTGCTTAGATTTTGAGGTTTGGCATATTTTTTTTTGTCAGAACAGTTGTCGACATCCTCTCTCCCTTCTAGGTTTATATCCAACAACGAGTGGTTCTCCGACTATGGTTGGTCTAAGATGGTGATCTTTTACCTTGAGGTCGAGTGGTGCCCTGACTATAGCTCGTTCCTGGGTGGGCATTTATCTTCAATTTTCCATCCACTGCAACCTTCCCCTCGCTGTCGTCACTACCTTTCCTTATTATCGAGACCATCGGACTACACTTATGTCGCCTTCCTACAACTCCAGTCGCCAGCCACCTCCTCCACATGCTGCAATCCCTTCCAGCCACTCCCACCTTGTTGTAGTCCCTAGAAAACAGAGCAACTACTGTTTTTACCTCTGCTCCCGACCATCCAACCCCGGCTCATCCATTCTCTCCCTCTCTACCTTTTGTCCACTGTTGTTACAGCCACCTGAACCACACCTTGCAGCCTATCTGTTGTTCCAACACTTCCCCTGTGATGCCTCTGTTGTTCTCGCCGCCCAAAACCATTCCTTGTACGTCCTTACTGCTGTCCCACTTGCCGAAACCACCTCCAGCAGCCTAGCTACAGTCCCCACTTGCTGCCCCCCCACACCAGACAACACTCCTCTTGCTGTCCTGCAGTCCACAACCTTTACTTTTCCTGTCCCAACCACTCAAGCCATTTAAGTCATGTCACGATCGACCCAGCACTTTGAGTCAACAAAGATGGAAACAGAAGATCGAACGGTTAAAATCAATTCACTATTATTCTAATTTTATCACTAACAATTTAATATTCAAACAATACATGAAAGAGCCACTAAATAAAATAATTAAAATAAACAAGTAGAAATTTGCACATTTCTGGTTGTTGTTCCCGTCTTCTATACGCATTTGCTTCGCTTTAATTCATCTTGTACAAATGTTTAAAGCATAAAAATAACATTGAAGCAACATAAGGAGTTATCTACAGATAACTCAGGAGTAATCAAATTTCTAAATTACAATAATCCAAGGAAAGAAAATAATATGTATGTTAGTCTATAGGAAATCTTATATTATACTATTCTCTCATAATTTTATAAGCAATCTGATTTATACTAATGAATGTATCAATAACATTTTTCTAAATAAATATACACTAATTTTCTATATGCATTTATCTTTACTTTTACTTTATATTATTTACATTAATTTCTGTCTCAGTAAGGATCATCGTCAACAACCTAACACACACTTGGCCGATATTGCCCCATCGACTCCCTCGACACGATGGTTAGCGATCTATACAACACAATTGTCTAAGGTGGAAAGACCCTTACCTACCCGTGATTGATATTATCTCATCGACACAGTGGTTGATAATGTAAGCATCACAATTGTCTCGGGAGGTAAATGCTGGTCAACTAGCCACTGACCGATATTATCCCGTCGAGACAAAGATTAGTTATCTAACCATTAAAATTGTTTGGAATGATAGAAAAACTATAAGCGTGGCGTCCCTTTCCTGTACCATTAGAGAATGAAATCCTTCTGTGAACATGCACATACAAGCTTTCATATATAAGCTATTTCATTCTTCATACATACATTATTCTGAAACATTTTTATTCAATCTACTAATATGCACACTTCTTTGTTGTGCAACTATTCATCATGCATATTTTTTAAATTATTTATGTATCTATCAGATGCATATCACTTATATCATGCATATCCTTCCTATGCATATCTTATATGTCTATCTTATATATAATGACTATCTAAATATCATCCATCTCATATATTTTTCATGCATGCACTTCTTTTAAAATTTTTCAGTCATAAATAACATTTCTATCTAACAAAATAAAGAATCTACTGCAATATAAATCTAACTGAAGTAAAGTGAAGTGGTTTAAGGTGTCTTACCCTAAATTAAGTGTTTTCTAAATAATTAAATCAGAAACTCCCATGTTGACTTAACCATTTAACAAAAATAACAAAACAAATGAAAAGAGAAGGCCGATCCACTTCCAAAACTAACAAAGCCAATGGAGGGAAATAACAAGTGAATCAACCTAAAAACGTTTAAAATCTTTCAACAATTTTAATTAAATCGACCTTTGAAAAGAGTGTTTAAACCTATTTCAAGATAGTGTTGATCGACCCAAAAATTCTTCAATTCAGCATAAAAAGAAATGAGATCCAAAAGCCATAAGATAGACTCAAAAAACTGCAACCCACAAGCTACCAAACGGACCCAAGAAAGTACAGCGAAACAAGCCCCTTAATAGTC